CGTGTGCTTGCCGCCGCTGGTGTACGGGAGGCCTACATGTGTCATGGCTTCTACGACTCGTTCAGCCTATGCTTTTACGACAGTGAGGAAGCTGCTTGCGCGGCTGCTGTCAAGTTAGATGTGAAGCGAGTGCGCCTACCTCGGCGTAGAAACGTTTTCCAAAAACGCTGCTCGTTCCCCAGTTAGTTGCGCGCATCCACTGCAGTGCATGGCGCCAAGGTTGGGCCTTTCACTTTCAGAATCCTCGCCACCAGGAACGAAAGCTCAACGGCGAAGCCAGTCTCAGAAGTCTTGCCCGCTCAGCAACCAGAAGCACCTGATGGTGATTGAAGTTGAGGTCGACCTGATGGAAGCTGTGCGGAAAGGCTGGGTCCAAAACGGAGGCGCAGGAGCTCTTTCAGGCTTGGCGCCTGGTCCAAATCAGAGGTCACATTTTGTAAAACCTCTCCTCCGTGATGACACGAATTTTTTGATATGGAGGTGGCTGGACCTTTTCAACGGTCTTCAGCTTGGATGACCAGCACAAGTTCCCCAAGGTTTCCTTTCGTGAATGCCTCTTGGGAGCGAAAGTGAAAGTTGTTGAGATGCCAGCATCCACAACTGCGTGGATCTTCTATGCCTTCGAGTCAGACGCGCAGAATCTTGTCTTGTGTTCTCCTCTTTGCAGCAAGTGTTCTTGTCACATTGCCAGCAATGTTGATTTCTACCTGTGGCAAGGAACACCTCTGTGAAAAGTTCCCTCATGAAGAATGCGCTGAACAAGCTCGACGTGAGCGGACGTGTGTTCTTTGCAGACGCAACCACTGGACCATTGATGGCCTTTTTCTTGGCAAGAGGACGAGACACCAAGGCCACAGGGCAACTTGAGTCGTCTTAGCTCCTTTCACTGTTTGTTTTGACTGTGCCATCATTTTTGCTTCAGGCAACTACGATGGAAGTTCACATGCTGGATTCTCCGCCGCCCACCTATGTTGGTTCTGCTGTCTCTCCCCTGACTGACTTTTGGGATTGCTGTGAAGTGCATCAGCCAGCGGGCAAGGCAGGCATTCTCGATCTTTTCAAGTGTCTGAAACGCCAGACCCGAGCTAGTGTTTTGTTTTTCCCTATAGGTGGAGTGTACCGTGGAGATTGCCAAGCTGAGCTCCATTGGGTGGGACGATCTTCGCAAGCAAGTTGAGCTTCGCACAGTTCAGAGTATGCTTGCCGAGCTTGAGGATGAGGAGACGGGCCTCCAGGAGCGACTCGGCTTCGTGCAGCAGCAAAAGGACAGTTTGAAGCGCAAGAGTGAATTGCTTGGGGGCGCGGCGAGTGGCTCAGAGGGCCAAGGCAATATGAAGGAGACGAAAGTGGTTCCTTCGGATGCTGACCTGCCGGAGAAATCTGGCCAGCGCGGCGATATGAAGAAGAAGATGAAGACCGGTTGCTGAGAAGAAGGAGTGATTTCAGTGGCAATGGCAACTCAGGGTTTTTGATTGAGCGGACAGAGGCACATGTCTTTGCCTGTCGCGCAGCCAAAAGAATGTTTAAACACGTTGCAGGGCCGACTTTCTTGCTGTGCGTCAGCTGTAAGAGCTTTCAGTGCTCCGAGCTGTAAGAGCTCCCAAGCTATAAGACATCCATCGCTATTAAGAGCTCAGAGCTGATTTCAAAATAAGGTGGACTCGCAGACCATCAGCGCGGATCGCCGGTTTGTCCGCAGGACGATCTTTGCGGGCAGAGTGTGCCAGCGCTGAAGCCTAACCGGTTGTTCAAGCTTCACCAGAGACACCTATACCTTTACGCGGTGTGCCAGGCTCAGAAGCATGTGTTGATGTTCTCCTTGTAGACGTTCAGACAAGCGGGATAAGATTTGGACACAGCTCAACAAACCTCAAACTTGAGAATCTTTGCCTTAACAGCATCTTCCAGCCATGGATGATGATGAGCCTTTGGAAATCATTGCATCCCACCCAAGTAGGATGGACAAAAGCCAGAAAGGAGAAGACCGACAAGAAGAGATGTCCGGCTTAGGATACGCTGCTGCCCAGCCCAAAGGAATGGGAAACAGGAAGGCCGAAGGCCATAGACACCGGCTTGCGCCCTATGAGGCAGATCGTCCAGGAACTGCTCGCTTCTTCCCGAAGGAGGAATCCGCGCATGATGACCTTGGCAATGATCTTGGGGAAGCACCGTTGGAAATCATTCACGAGAAACCCCTATATGAAAGGCTTGTTAGTCATGACAATACTGGGGAAGCGCCTTTGGACATAATTCGCCTTGATCCAAGAGCTGCAGCAGGGCAAAGTCAGATCAGTGGCAGCATTGATGAAGCTTTCCGAAGCCTACTCATTGCTTTGACAAAGCTGCAAGACATCGTCCCACACCAGAAGCTGGTCCAAACAATGCTGGTTCGCGGATCGGCGTTTTCTACATACTTTAGTGGAATGGGCAGTGTCGAAAAGGCTGCCGACATGGTCAACGCTGCAGTGAAGGCGGTGTTTGGAAGCAGCGCTCACAAATCTGTGGGCGCGTGTGAGCGCGACAAGCGCTTGCAAGCGCTTTTGAAGGGCCGAGTGGAGAGTTGCATTTTCGGTGACATTTTGGACTTCGTTCCCGCTTTGATGTGGGAGGATGTTCGAAACTTGAGCCCTGAGCGCAGATTTGCCAAGGTTCGTGCCCACTTCACACCAGAAAATCGTCAGAGATGCTCACAACATAGAGGCTGGTGCCGATGTATCAGGTCTGACTTTGATTTTTCTGGCTCACCGTGCCAGCCCTATTCTACATTTGGCAACCAGCGTGGTTTAGATGACGAACGATCCCTCTTGTTGTTTGTGTGGATGGTCATCGTGTTGCATTACAAACCAACGATCGCTGTCCATGAGTGCACTCCCACCTTCTTCACCAGCCTTCTGGACCAATTCATGGCCGATGCCTACCACATCCATCACTTGGTCACATCTCCGGATGCTTTTGGTTGGACCTGTATACGCAGACAACGTGTTTTTTCGATTTTGGTGCTTAAAGAACGTGTGCAGATTTTAGGCAGCATCCCTCATGTCTACGAGGAGGCTTGCAAACATATCAGGTCAAGGCAAGAGCAGTTGCCAATCTCTTCGGTGCTGATTGCGAGTGAGGCTTCTCTCCTCGAGGAAGAAAATTTGTGTCGACGAAAAAGGAAGATGGTGCTTCTCAAAAGCAAATCAGACGATTGGAGCTACCTACTCACCGCCAAGCAGAAAAGTTACTTGGCAATGTATGACTGTCTCTGGAGGGATCAAATGAAAACAGAGCCAACATTGGACAGTGGCTGCGTATATGACCTGTCACAGAACCCTGCTTGTGTCAAAATCTGGAGCGGCCAGGAGCGCCGCCTTCCCACTGTACGGAAGTCGGGCTATATCTTATGGGCTCCCCGGCTTCGGAGGTGGCTCATTCGCGAAGAAATTGCACTAGCTCATGGGTTCCCTGTGTCAGAGACAGCGGCAAGAGCATCCCAAACGCCTGTAGACATCTGTACATTACACCTGGCTCAGTACAGGGACTATGGCAACGGAATCCATTGCATGCAGGCTGCCATCATGATGTTGATTGCGCAAGGCCTTGTAATCAAAACGTCGGGTTGAAATGGCTGGCTGCGCAAATGTGCACCAAGCCAATTGAATAGTACTGCAGCATTAACTCCTTGGATGTGTGCTTCAAGCTGATCTCCTCATCCCTTAGGTTGGCTTGGAAACAAAGAAGTTGATCAGCTTGACTTTGAAGGCTATTCAAAGTAGTGCCAGATGTTTGTAGCTGATCTTGTATTTAAAAGCGGTCACAACTATCAAGATATGCAGTTCAGCTTGAAGCCCCCATCCGTTGGGTTCATCATGTCTGACAGGCATGTTGACTCTAGAACCACAAGTTTAGGTGAATCAAGCCGAAGAGCCTATCCCAAAGGGAACCAACCGACCGCAGTGCTCATCAGCTTAAAATTTGTGTGTGAACTATATTGGTTCACTTCCTGGTTGAATCAAGCCGAAGAGCCCATCCCAAAGGGAACCAACCGACCGCAGCGCTCACCAGCTTTAAAATTGTGTGTGAACTATATTTGTTCACTTCCTGTTTTAATCAAGGCGAAGAGCTCATCCCAAAGTCAACCATCCGAACGCAGTGGTCATCGAATATGATTTGATCAACACCGTCTAGGTTCCACAGTGTGCAGCTTCAACAGCGGAGATCTCTAGCTGTAAGAGCTCCAGCTTTGATTTGACAAACATTGTGTAGGTCTGTAGGTCTTTTATCTGCAGCTTCTTCTGAGCTGTAAGAGCTCCAATGAAGTTCCAGGACGATGTTGCCTCAACACTTCAAGCAGAGGTGCGCCGGTGTCAGACGAAGGTAGTTTGAATCCGGCCCTTGTGCGCTTGAAGTCATTGCTTGTCGCCACACTCTGCGGAACCCGTGGAACTTTTTTTACTCAAGCTCAGTCAGCAAAGACACAGGCTCAGTGTCAAAAGTCAGTGCCCAGATTTACAGCAAAGCTGTGCAAGATAATTATGCTGTTTCTGTGAGAACTTCAGCTAGACTGTGCGTCGGGCTCTCTAGCTGCCATGCCTGGCCAGAAGGTGGAGAAGCATGTTCACAAGGAGCTGGTTACAATTTGAAAACATTTGTGGACATATGTTTGGGTTTAGATATAGAACTGTTTGTCCCAGGGACCGCAGACGATAAAGCACGCGCAGCTCGTGCAGTTGGCAGATATCAGCCTCAACACCGACCTGAGTTCGCACAGGGGTGCTGATGAGGAGAGGATTGAAGAACTTCGTACCAGGCTGGATTTATAAAGCGTCAGTGGTTGTCTGAAGATGTTGATACACGCGCTTCCCGCCAGGTTCTTGGCAGGAGATTTCGATTTGTCCCTGTTTGCTCGGCCTGGTGTACTTTGCGATACAACAGGAGTATTGCGCGCGAACATGGCTCGACTTGTTTTCAGAAAGTTTGTGTCTATTATTTGGTCGGGCTTTCCGGGGATATCGTAAATGGTTGCAGGAAAAGGGCTCCTGGATGTTGATGGGTTGCAGCTGCTGGATGACGGCTTCCAGACATGCCAAGCTCTGAAGAGATTGCAACGTGAGTATGAAGCCAATGTGGACGCCTCATGCGTCTGGCCACAGAATTTGGTTGAAGTCTTCACCAATGGGCTGCCGATGGATTTCCGTACGTACGGTGATGTCTATGAAAGGGAGACACACATTGCCTACCAAACTTTGAGGCATGACGAGGCTCAAAACAAGTTCAGACCTTCATCCATCTGGCAGAAGGTGAACGTGGTGGAGCGCTACGCGAAGAAGCTCCCTGGGAGGGACATGAGCAAGGTCACTGCAGCCATGATGGAGGTCTTTGGCAAGTCCAAGCGTCCAACCATTAATCGTTGGGTTCGAGCGCACAACAACTTGCACTCAGAAGTGGTGACATGGCTCGAGACGTGCAAGAACCTTCCTGACAGCTATGTGTTCGACAACCAATTTCTCCTTGGACCTGGGCCCCAAAAGCTCGCGCCGGGCGATGCTGTTGTTGCCCTGACCCTTTTGAAGAAGATGCGGGAGGATGGCAAAGCTATCAACCCTGATGGCTTCAAGGGCCAGATTTGCTCTCCGTTGCTTGTCAAAGCAAGTTGGGTGAAGAGCATGAAGAGCCAATTCGGAACAAGCTGCACAGAGTCTCCGGTTCCTTCAACGCATTTCTCGAAGTTTTCCAACAAATAAAAGACGGGGGAAACTCAGTGTTTATTCCCATCATTTTCGGTGGCTGATGCAGCCATGTCCTTGTGACAAGGCATTTCACCGTGTTCGATTGAATTTGGAGACGTTGGCAGGGCTGCGGGACATTTTGGGATGCATGCAGTCCAACGTGCCACTTCATGGGCATGGTTCCTCAGAAGAGGCTGCAGGGATCGCCGAATGCCGAACTCTTTGGCTTGAATTCCGCAAAGCTAAGCGCAGTGGCAAAACCACCGAGACGCAGCCGAGCAATCCACAAGAAGACGCCACCGATGCGATCATGGAAGATGCCGCAGGCACCATGATCATTGGCGAAGGAGAAGCCTCTGCTGAAGCTGAGAAGCCACTTGACCCCTTGGAGCAGGAAGCGCGGACAGAGGCCCAAAAGCACGGGAGCCACATTCACCGATTCAACGGCAAGGACGCCGTGAAGCAGCTGGAGCAGAAGTTGTGCCTGGTCTTAATTTCTTCATCGCGTACGCTTTCCCACAGTGCAGCTGAAGAACCGAACCATCGGATCTGAGCTGCAAGACCCAACCATCGGCTAGCCGTAAGAGCTCCAGACCTCGACTGTCAGCTGTAAGAGCTGCAAAACGCAAAGGGCTGTAAGAGCCGCGAAGCCCAACTAATCCATTAGCTGTAAGAGCTGCAAAACCACACGATCAGCTTTACTGTTTATCTGTATAGGCGAGGCTCATTGTGTGTTGCAACGAACATCAGGCGTAAGTAAGGGCAACACCTTTCAAAAATCAACAACCCTGCAAATACCGGCGCTAAGGCCTCAATACTTGTTGCCGAGTCAGAGAGCGGCTTTCATGGTGGACGCCCCAACCTCCAGAGCCAAGATTCCTTTGGCAGCTTTGACATCCATCTATGAGATGACTGCAAAGCATGAGAACTTCTCTGTGCTTGTGCAGTGCGGCGGCCGCTTGGAATTTTTGGCTGCGCTTCAAAACAAGATGCAGCAGTTGTGGCCATCGGCCAACATCTACGTCACCGTTGTGAACAATGGCAACGAGGCTCAGTCCAGCAGAAGGCGATCCAAGTTCGCTTTGGTGATGCACCGCGGAAAGCTGCAACCAGCAGTCCCCAGCTCCGTCCCAGCCTTGCGAGGCAAGGCAAAGTCGTATGAAGGTCTCAGACAGCGCTGTTTGCACCTTCAGTGCAAGCTCCGCACTGAAGAAGATCGAAAAAGAGCAGAAGAGCTGAAGTCAAAGGCAGAGATGGACCCGAACCTAGCTGCTGCACTGGCTCGTTGCGAGATCTGTGATGACGATGATGAAGAGAAGGTGCCCAACGACGAAGCTCAATCGGAGGAAGAATGTGAGGCTATGGGTGCTGAGGAAAAAGACGGCCAGAGAGATTTCATCACTGATATCTTCACGTTTTCCCACAGCACTTCATACTATTTGGCCTTCTACCAGCAACTGCTGAACTGCGACAACTCCGTGATCACTGTGGTGATGACATCGACGAGCCACCCGGCCAGCGCAGTTGCTGCAAGAATGTTGGGACAAGAGGTGTTTGTGGTCACCTTCCAAAGTTCGGAGCATTCCATAGCGCACGGCGTTGAGCTCCAGGATGTTATCTTCCGAACTCGTTTCCTGGAAACCAAAGGCGTGACCAAGGGCAAGCAAAGTTGTGGCTTAAGCAAACTTGTGGGCTTCAGTTGCCCATGCCATTTGCAAAAGCTTTTGCTTCACTGGAACCCTGCAGGTTCTGTGCAGCAAAAGCGATCGCTTACCTCGCAAGGGCTCCAGATAATTGAGGGTCCTAATTTGACTGCCGAAGAACAGCTTGTGAGGCTCTCGGAGGTAAGTGTTTTCTTGACAGACCGCAGTCTTTTTGGCAGCTGTTCAACCACATTTCTCGGGCCAGGTCTCCGTGCCTTCTGGGGATGGCTTTGGTGGAGTGGACATAAGCCACACCTTCTTGGATGCAAGGGTGCCAAAGCTTCTCTCGAAGGAGCTCACTGAGCACAGCTTGGCGCTTCAGGTGCAAGAAGGGTGCGGCCGAGGACTGGTTACGCTAAGGCCCCTCCACGAGGCAGGTGATTTTCAAAATTTAGACCATGTGCAAATGACACGCGCGAATATAGAGGGCCTAATGACATTTTCCTGGTGCGCAGGGAGAAAAGATTGTTGTAGCAACATCCGCAAAGTTCAGCTCCATGAGCACTTTGCTGCAGTGGCTGCGGCTGCCTGGTCACTCAGCTTTGGCAGACGGTGTCCTGGGCATCGGTGGTGTCATTTTCGATGAGGCTCAACCTCCGCAGACGCTGTTCTGCGTCTTGCTCGGCGCCAGCTATTACTGCCAACACTATGCTGGAATCAGAGCTCGTCCAAACTGCCAGTTCGTTTGCGACACAAGCGCCGGCTTCAGTTCGAACTTGGTATTTCTCCAGGTTCGAACGCACAATGGGGCTGGCATAGCAAGAAACAGCCCGCTTGTTTGCTCCTATGGCCGCGACTACGACCTGACTGTGAAACCGAGCACAGACAACGATGACAGGGTGAAGCGATTCAAGGGAGCTCTTGAGGAGTTCTTCGCAAAGCCACTGGACAGCACAGGGTCAGAGAAGAATGTGGATGCAAAAGGATGGTCTCAGAGTGAGACAGCTGGCAGGGATGGGGGCACAGTGCCTGGAAAAACACCAGGGCCGCTGCCGCTGCCGGCGCCAGAAGGGCCAGCTGATCCCGTGCCAAAGCCATCGCCACCAACACCAAAGCCCGCACCGCCCACTGGAGAAGGCGCTGCTCCGAAGGTTGAAGATGGCCAGGCCAGCCGCTGGAAGTAATAATGTTCTTTCTTGTTTTCTCGAGACTGTTTTCTGGAGATTCGGAGACAGTGGTATTCCCGGCTTTAGGTTTTGAGCAAGAATATCACAGAGAATGGCTTCGCTTTGATCAAGACCCCAGAGCCGCACCTTCACCTCGAGTCTACTGCCTCCGGCAAGAAGAAGCTTCCGCCACGAACAGCTCTTCTGATGCTGAGAGACATTGTGTTGGTGGATGCGGGCGAAAAGGATGAGAAGCAAGACTTTACCTGGAGCTTCAAGTCTGGCAAGGTTGGATGTAAGTCAAAACTTCCCAAAACAGGTGTAAATGGTAGCAGTGTGATGAGATTGTTTGTGGCAGGACTACGTTTTCTTGCGTGACAGCGGCAAGGACACCTTGTATCAGCTTGGTGATTTGATCGAAGTGAAGAAAGCGTCAAGCATTTCGACTCATGCTCCCTTTCCACCTGGAGTTTGCCCCAAGACTTTGATCGTGAAAGGCGAAGTTGGTGGCAACAAAGTTGACCCTGCCCCAGAAACCCCGCTGTAGTTCTTACTCTTGTCGTTACGTTTGTGAAGCGGATGCAGAATGCTTTCTCCTTGCAGGCTCTCTGGCGATCCAGACCAAAAGCAAGGAGTCATCGGAGAATTTGCCTCTTGCTTTGCAGAGCCCGCAGCTGTCAGCATTATGGGCTGTGAAGTTGAAAGACGCAGAGCTTGTCCCTTTTGGCATCGTGATCGTGAACCGCATCCAGCTGTCACTTGCACCAGGACGAACAATTTTGACCCAGCGCGGCTCATCATCCTGAGCCTGCAATGAGTCTGGGAGAGCCGGTTTTCGCCTGCACGGTCAACATTTTGTGCGCTGTGACGTTAGCCAAATTTTCCCTTTTAAGAACATCGCGCCACCTTGGTACCCGGTCATTGGATCAACGCACCCACCTTCGAAACCCCGAGGTTGGAATAACTGTGCTTTTTGACATGAAGGTGCGCGAAGGTGTGGTACAGGAGCACTAGCGGCTAGTCACTAGCGAGACAATAGACGCTCACGCTGCCAAACAAGCAAAAAGATACGCCGCAGCCTTGCAAACGCCACTTGTCAATGACGTGTCTAGCAACTTGGAGAGCTTGAGCTGTAAGAGCTCCACAGCTGTAAGAGCTGACTGCTGATCAATTCGTTCGCCGTAAGAATGTCTGCGTTGAGGATCAAACGTCATAGTTCCCGTGTTAGAAGAACCAATGTCTCATCTCAGTTTACAGCAGTGTTTTGCTTTTTCATCCCTGCCGATGAGGACACTTGTAACTTGTCACAGTCACTGGCGTGTCTAGCAAGCGTCAGTCAAAGGCTTCTTTCTCTATTTCGGCTTTGGCAGGCTTTCGCAGCCCTTTACCTTTACGCAGGGCGACCCAGCATCACGCTTGGATGTGAGGGAGTGACAGGTTGGGAGTTGCAAGAGCTCCAGAGCTGTAAGAGCTTTCAGGGGCGCGAGTCGTGATCAGTTCAATAGCCGTAAGAAAGTCTGCGTTGTGGATCAAGCATCATTCAAGCATCATGGTTTGCGCGTTGGAAACATCAGTGTCTCATCTCAGTGTTTCACCCGTGTATGTTGTTTTGTTTCTTCATCCTTGCCCATGAAGAGACTTGTACAGTAGATCGGTCAATCGACCCAACTATATCAAGCCACGTCCTAGCAAATGTCGCGTCAAAAGGAATGGCGTCCGCGGAGGGACGCCGCTTCTTCCAGGACTCGGATTCAGAAAGTGATGGCAGTAGCGCAGTGAAAATTTTGCGCAAGCCTTGCTTTACTTTGGATGTGGCAGATTCCTCCTCGCCTTCCTCAGATGAACCGCTGGAGGTTCCGCCCGTGGTGCTCCCAGATAATGATGTAGCTTTGGAGATTCCTGTTGAAAATTGCAGTGATGATGAACTTTTCATGGGTGTGCGACCCACGGCAACTGGTTCATCGACGTGGAAGCCTGGCCTAGACTGTGGAACCTTTGTTGGCCGGGTTGGAGCGCAGAGCTTGAGCGCACAGAGCCAGGTGTTGATATGCAATGTGCTGTGCAACATCGACTGGTTGTCGCGCAGCATGGTTAAAGCTTGCTTGCAAGCTATCCGTCCGCAATGGCAGGCGTCGCTCTCCAAACAATCTTTCGCGACGCAGCTAGCTGGGTATATGCTTGGGCTGCCCGCAATCACCGTGCAGAAAACGTGGTCAGCAGTGAAGCTCTCTGGATGGTCTCCAGAGCCTTGGGCAAACCACGACAGCTTTGTGTTCTTGTTCTTTTTTTTGTGGCCCTCCGGCCCAATCTCTTGGAGCCCGCGCCATCTGAGGAAAATCACTGCGGCGGCGGTGGCCGTAAGAAGAAGAACGTTGCCCCGCCAGTTGAAAGCGACGATGAAGAGCTTGAAGTCCAACTTCGAAGCGACCCAAAGCAGGAAACAATGGAGAGGTTAGTTACGCTGGCAATCTCTGCAGCAGTAGAGGGCCGGTCAGGATTGGAATTCGAAAGGGACGTATTCCGGAGCAGCTTGCTGGGCGTTTCTGTTGGAACCTCGCACCACACCCGCCATTTTTTCCGGCAATCATTGTATGTGGCTGATATGGTTTTGAGCCACCTAGACTGCCAGGAGTTTGATGCCGTCCTGGACGGGCTCGGTACACAGGGCGACTTTAGTTTACTCTGTGACCCTGTCAGCCTCGGTACAGGGTGGTCAGCCAGACACGGCACGGTGCTTTGTATGGCTTTGTGCTTCATCAGCAGCAAGACCTACCAACCTTTCAGCGCCTACTTTGCTGCGCCAACCATGGATCTGGGCGACCATGCAGGAAGAGCGATGGCCGAACTGGCATTGTCTACATTGGCCAACCACCCAGGCCAGTATGACAAAACACTGCTGCGAGCCCGCCTGAGTTTGATTGGTGGCGACGGTGGTTTGACCAAAGGACCGACTTTCGAAAGCACAGTGTTGTATTATACCTTACCAAGTCTTTTTTGAAGCAGCTAGGTTGCAGATGTTCCTTCCTTCCTATAGGAGGTCAGGAGGCAAGACACAGTTCTGCCTCCACGGCAGAGATCATGTGGAAGGAAATCCACGGCGACGATGCCGCTTTATTGACTTGTGTCGACTGGGACCAGTTTCATCGGGATGACATCGCTCCTAGGTGACAAGCTACGAAATTTGATTTGTATGTTGCTTGTAATTTTGCGAACTTTCCGCGACCTGCGCAGTTTCCTGCCAGTCACTCATCATTGCGTGGGCCAGCCTGGGCGTTTGGCCGCGCTGTTGACAGCCACAATGGAATCAAAGAGGTTTTTGCTTTGACCAAAGACATCGACAACTGCTTTGGTCATTCAGAAGGCCAGATTCTGTACCGGGCAGTTTCTTCTGAGTTGGGAGAGGGGTCCTCCAGTCAGAAGCTGCCACGAGTTGGGGGCACGAGAAAGGCTGGTGCTTTGAGTGGTGTTTCAGCGAAATTGGTGGCCCACTTCAAAAGAATATCTGTTGCCCTAGAAACCCGTTTGGCGTGGAGGCGCTCTAGACGTGGCCGGTTTACTTTAGAAAGTTTAGCCGAGACATCCCGCCGGCTGAGGGAACCCAGCTTTGTGGTCTTGCTCATTTGTTTTCAAGACATTTGCCGCCCAATTTCCGAACACATCCTGACCGTGCAGACAACACTGGAACCGTGGCTTGTACATAGAGCAGATGAGAAGTGCCTCAATTCCATTGACGAACTGCTGGATGGAATTGATCGAGCTGAGAAGTTTCTGTGCGTGTGCTGCCTTCTGGCCCAGTGGTCTTCAGCAGCAGACCGTGGAAGTTTCTTCGTTGCACATTTATTTGTTCATTTATTTCATTGTGTGCAGCTGCTGTATCAAGACCCTGATGCGTGCAGGTTTGGTTCTTGCCTTTAGCTGTTCCAAAGCATTCAAGCCTCTGATGACCCTATTTATGTATTTACCGCAATTGATGATGCATTCGCCGCCTATTTTCAAGCAGGTGAAGCTCTCCACTGATCTTCCTCAGGCCTATACCAAAGGCCGGGTGCTGGGTCCACACTGCCAGTGTGCATCCAGGCATTTTGGGAAGAAGAAATCGTTGAATGTGCGTGGGAAGCAGATCAGGTTGCCTCCGTGGTCGGCCACATCATTCAATGCCAACAGGGATGCAGGAGACAGCGCTTACCTATGTCCACGGTTCCAGGAAAGCAAAGTGCCCACTCCAGGGACCTCGAAGCCAGGCACCTTTAGACACGCTGGTGCCTGCAGCCGGTGCTTTGTCCCAATGGCTCTCTACACAGATTTCAGGCACATCATGCGCGGCCTGTCCTCAGCCAAGGCTTTCGTCAATTCATTCAAGGCAGAAATGTCTGGAATGCTGGGCCCCGTTGGTGTGAATGACGGAATGATATCGTTGCAGCAGGCCATGTCCAGGTGTTGGAACTGGGAACAGCTCATTGTCAGACAGCCAATGCTCGCGGAGATTGAAGCGTTCCAGCAACTTGACTGCACCGGGTCAGTTGCTTTTGCTGCAGGAAGGTGACTCAAAAATTTTTCCAATGTGCACATGTGGCTGCAGTTTCTCTTTTGTTTGACGTGCCGTGCCAGGTATTGCTTCAATGCTTTGAAGCCTTTCTTAAAGAATTGTTTGTGGCCGGGGCCGGAATATCCAATGAAGAGATACCATTGGGACCTGGATGACGAGGAAACCGCACGTCAGTACAAACTGTTGTGTTACAGGGTGCGGCTTGTTGCTCGAGGAACGTCGGCTACAATCCCGGCGAGTGTCAGGCAGCTCGCGCGCGCATGGAAGCAAACGGTTGGTCACCGTGTCCGAAAAGTCCACACCTGGGGACCATTGCGTGCCATCTTGCAGCAAGCGTTCCAGAGGGTCACTGGTGTGAGCTCTACAGACCTGCTTTTCTTGCATGCTGCAGTGGTTTGCAGCACTGTGATGGCATTTGCTGGCCACGCTGGAGAAACTCTTTGTCCGCCAGGTGCGTTCGCCGAGTTCGATTGCAAGCCTGGAGACATTGTGCCAGTCACAAGACCTGATTAGTTGCAAGCTTTGGTTCTTCTGCCACCGTGAGGTATTTCCTAATCATATTTCTTGCTTGTGCCTTTGAGTGATTGCCTATCTTGTGGCCAGGTGAAAGCCAGGTTACAACGAAAGCGCAAGAAATCGGCGCAGGAAATACCAATGCCAGTGAGGTTTTGCAGGTACGGATCTGGCAAACGTTTGGTAGAGGTTCTGTCAGACAATGTTGCAGTGAATTCTGCTGCAGTCTCCGCAGCCATTGACGCAAGCCGTTTCTTTGCCATCGGTGATAGGCCGTCGAAGAGGACCAGTGCCTGGCACAGTGTGCGAGTGCATCACCGCTCCCGGCTCCTACGCGGAGCGGAAGCTATTTGCGAACATTTGGGCAGCCTAGCCCATTTCAGTTGGCAAAGTCAACGTGAGGAGGCGCCAGCGCTGGCGATGTCAAGAGTTCACCTTCTCCAGGCTGATGTGCGATGTCTCGGTAGTGTGCGCGACGAGGTCGTGATTCAGGAGTCAGCCAAAATACTTCTCTCAGCCAACCTCAACCCCCTGAGGAAAAACAATCAACAACTCGGGCAGATCCAGGGGCGCAACAAGAATTCTCAAGAGTCAGGCCGCATGCATGAGTTTGAATCTGCGGACCTGTCATTGCCACAGCCATCATCTGCGTCAAACCTGAGAAAGAGGACCTCCGAGTTCAGGGCTGAGTCACTGCCAAGCACATTGCCTGCAGAACTCAAGGCAGTAGTTGACAAGAGCAAAGGCGTAGTCGAATCGATGCCTTTGACCGCACTCATGCAACGAAGAAAAACTAATTCATCTTTGAGTGACTCGCTTGCCTCCTGGCTGGAAAGCGATGCTGGCAAAGCCTGGCAAAAGGACAGACAGCAGATTTTTGAAGCATGAAAAAATGGACTGATGCTGTAAGAGCTTCTGAATAGGCGGAGACAGCGGTGCGCAATGCTGCTGTAAGAGCAGGCGGCCATAGCGACGTATCTAGCTGATTGATTGACTTCCAAGCTGCTTGCACTGTTTCACAACTGCTTTAACCAGCTGCGCGTGCAGCAGAGATCCGGCCATCCTTGGCCGCCTTTGCCATACGCCAAAGTGAAAAGAGATTCGGCTCAAATCTTCCATGGCTGCGATTTGCCCGGCAGAGCATGTGGAAGGTGATGGCAGGCCACAGAAAAGGAGAAAGGTAGTTCCACGGGGCGCTTGCCTTAACCCCACTTGCCTTAGAAGAGTGGCAGGACTTGGCTGCCGGACCACCAAAATAAATGCTGAAGGCCATTTCGATTGTCAAGCCAGCGGGAAGAACGCTCGCGGCATTGCAGCAAGAGCCACAGAGTTCAAAGACGCGCTGCGCGAAGGCAGGGTTAAGAAAGTAGAACACGGGCTTATACAGCATATATAGGGGGTCAGCTAGAATCACGATGTGACGCCTGAATTGAATTTGCTTTAGCGAGGCGAAGAAAAAATGAATAGCTTCGTGACGAAAGTCCTTGGGTTTGATGATGGTGCTGCTTGCCCGTGGCGGGCGATCTATGTTGGGGATCGTACAGTATCCGCCCTGGAGAAAGCCACCGGTGACCCCAAGCTTTTTTGATCGCATTTTAGTTCTCCTTTGGTTGCGCAAAACTTTTTGCTTGGTTCAAGCATGTAGCCAAATGACCTTCATTGTCAATCTAACTGCGGCGATTCTTTCCTTTCCACTCTCTTCCGTTCCTGTCCTCTTTGGGTCTTCCTTTCGATTACGCGTTCTCCTTTCTTTCCTCTGATCCAGACGTCGGGGCCGGGTGCGTCGAGACGTCGGTCGTCTGGAGACGCCGGGCGCCTGGAAGACGTCGGTCGTCTGGAGACGCCGGGCGCCTGGAGGCGCCGGTCGCCTGGAGGCGCCGGGCGTCTGGAGACACTAGACGCCGGGCGCCTGGAGGCCCCGGTCGCTTGGAGGCGCCGGGCGTCTGGAAACCCTAGAGATGGTGGCTGCTAGTCGTAGCCAATTCTCGGTGCTCTGCGAGGGCGCGCATTGCGTATTGCGTACAGTCGTGTATAATAGGTCAAAGAAACGCCCGGGCGTCCACATGTTTTGTGCCTGTGTAGTCACTGCTATTAATTAGGGCAGCGGCTGAGTCTAGACAGGCTGACAAGCATGATGTTGCTACTGTATTGTTTTCAGGTTTCTTCGTGAGCTTCAGAAGGCAGAGGCACAGATGAAGGAGGCCGAGAGTCAGACGGCGAGGACAAATGTCGTTGAGGCCACAACTAGTCCAACGCCAACATGCCGAACAAGCCAGCCTGATGCGCAAGAAATAGCTTTGGTTGCTTATGGGCACCGAATCCCGGCAGCGCCCCCAGCGCAAGGGGATCGCTCAGCAAAGTGTGTTGGGATAGCTTCGTGGGATGGAAACAGCGAGGAGCTTTCCAAGTCTTTTGCTTCTTTCCTTGATGTGAAGAAGCTGCACCCATGGACAGCGTTGGCAGTTCTGGCTGCTACGGGGAGACTGCTCGGAGCTGTCCAATCTCGCCTGGTCAGCCGGTACCAGATACATGTCGTTCACGCAGCAGCAATCATGCTGACCTGTGATTGGGAATTCGACGGAGACTCTGTGTCCAAAGCTGAAAGGGCAGCTTTCCTGGCGAAGCTCAACCTACATGGCATGGGTGATCAGGTGCGGAGCGCCGCAGCGCAGTTGGTGCAGGTGCTGGGTAGCAGCGGACTGCGCGGGCAATAAATAAGTAAAGTGCGACGCTGTTCAATTTCGGGCGAAATGTTAGTTTGACATTTGCAGTGGCATTTTGTTCACACAGAATTTCGAAATCAGCTGTAAGAGCTGGAACTTGGAATTTGGAAGTTGTGGGGGCTTGGGCTGCTTTGAGGCTGATGCGCTACTTCACTGTGGTGCATCGCGTCTTCGTTTCGCGCAGGCAGTGTTGGCCTGTTTGGAGATTATTTAGGCGAGTCATAAGCTGTAAGAGCTTGAGCAATCGATCGGAGCTGGGGTTACGTTGTTTTAGTCTCCCATCACCAGACGTGGGTTCCATTCGTTTGAATGGATGACCTGTGTTGTGATTTGATTTCCTGGCCAGGTTCTTTCTGGCGACGCAGTGCCGCAGTGCACAAAAAGAGCACCGGGGGGTTATGTGATTGCTTTCCCATAAACAAAGAGCTGATGGGAGTTGATTCGGACAGCTCCGTTAAAAGTTGTGGATTCTTTTCTATGTTGCGGGGACATAGACAATCCCTAGAGATCTATATAAGTCAGAAGGTACGACTGGACCCTCCAAACTTAGCAGTGTCTCCAATCACCTAACCTGAGAAGGTACTTGGATACCCAGGGCCCTAGGGAATAGCTTTTTGCCATCCAAATGCCCTCCCTGCGCAGAGAGTTAAATACGGTTGCTTTTCATTGGAATCGCCTAGTGGATTCATGATCACCTCTCCTTAGGTAGCAACGTGTGGTAACCAATGGTAACCACAATCGTTACCATATGCGTTACAGGACTGGTGCAAGATGCAATCGACTTGCCCTAAGAATCCGAGTTCGGGCTCTCCATGGCAGGGGTCGGACCCGACACCGAAACGCAGGGGGTCCGGGCCCGAACCAAACCCTATTGCTCGGTTCAGGCCCGGATTCTTAGGGTGTCAGTCATGAAGTCTTGATTCATGGATGTCTTTCGCTTGAGGAACTTATCGGGTTTTGCTGTGAGCAGGAGCGAAGGACGCTTCGCACGGGTCCTTCCCAGCACGGAGGTCTGTTGGAGAACATGGTTGGTAGAAAGAAAGGTTCAACAGATCAACTAACTATGGTTTGGTAACCCTCTCCAGGGTCCAACCCTCTTCAGGAGACCTGTAGAGTCAACCAGGATGCTGATATAATAATCATGAGAAACAGAAGAAACCCTCAAACACCAACTATTTTCCTTCTGGCTCAGATCGTTTGTTTCGTTTTTGCTTCAGTTTCCCAGTGTTTGGGGTGGGTACCAGGAGGGTCGATATACCAACATCGTGTTTGGAGCGTTTTCTTTTTTTTTTTTTTCGAAGCGAGGATAGTCCAACATCCCCAGGATAGTCCATTGGTGACCCTGAATGGAAAGTGCTTGATGGTGCTTGCTTTTGTGCTTTTGGTGGGAGTCGGGTGATGTAATTTTGTTCCTTCAACAGTCAAGACTTGATGGCATCGGATTTTGGATGGCTAAGGATACTCCGGATCAAGACATCTTGAAGGACATGGACAGTTTGTTGGCAGCATTTGCTGTTTGCTTCCGGCTGGACATGTTTTTAATCCGCTGTCACTGCTCTTGGTTTGACAATCAACTGGTGACATTGAGGAGTACATTCTTGGCAACAGACATGGATTACGACTCTGGTGGAACATAGGGGTGTGTATGCGAATGGGTTTGGGTCTATGTTCCTTCGTCCAGGGGTTCCTTAAAAATCTTGGGAGGGTCTCCTTATGTTACACTCCCGAAAACTAACATGGACACGGGTCGAATGGCAACCTGGAAGTGTTGTCCTCTACGAACCAGAGGTTTTCAGGGTCCATGGGATCGTCTTCGGTGTGGTATTACACTTCCGTGCATATACTTGTTCCACGAGCTTTGGCTGTTTGGGGCACATTGAATTGAATTGATTGTTTGGGTTCTGAGAGCGAGACACCCCGTCCAACAGGTAGACAGTCTGAGCTTTGGAACTAGTCTGAGGCCTGGAACTACTAACATGCTTCGAAGCTGCTTCGACGAGCTCGAAAAGAGTTTTGTTTGGGAAGATCTTGGAACACAAAACACCCAGGACAATCCAAAGAGTGCCTGGACTACCCTACACTACTGGATCTCCAGACAGGACACCCCTTGGATGGTCGGTTTCGACCGGTGAATTTCTGCACCGCTCGGCGGTTTCGACCGGCGCGGTGGACACGAGGTGCCCGGTGGTCGGGTCGTACCGCAAAGCCAGCTTGACCTCATTGTTTTTATTTTTTTCAGAGGCCATATGTTGAATAGCTGATCCTCCAAAACAGGGGTCACTCAGGTTCAGTATAGGCATGGGTTTGTATTTGGATAGGTGGATGGATTTTGTCTATTTGAGATTTTTGTCAGAGGTCTGTGGGATCTCTCCCTATTCTAACACACACCTAGGGTGTGGCCCAGTAGTAGTAACAGTCGGTTTAAAAGATTATCACAATGTTTGACGAAGGCCTGCAACCTAAGCATCATCATCCACTGGGCCAGCCTGGTAATGGGATAGACCCAATGCACTATTATGCCATAGATGGTTCTTGGACACCGCTTAACTTAACCATCCTTACTCTATATACGCTCTTTTCCTACTACCCCCCCTTGTTTTCTCAAAAGGGTCCATATGCCATGACGTCACCTCCGTTTTGATGTTGCATCACGATCATTGCACCGTCGCCCTCTTGTGAAGGCATCTTGGACTTCCTACATTGCGCCCACGCCGAGCCACGCAGCCGGGTCCTGGTGAGCTGCGTGCAGGGCATCTCCCGCTCGGCGGCCGTGGCTCCTCGGCGCAGAAGACAGACGTGAAAAAGGGGGGGAGAAGGGGATGGAAGATGGGATGGATGTTTGGTTTGTTGTGGACTGTTGATTTCAACACCCCAAAGTCACCCAATGTGCATGGGAATGTTCAGGAATTTGGTCTGAAAAGACATAGACTCAAGCCTGCCTGTTTTCAGTTCGTGTGTAGATCAACAGGAAAGCTCAGAATCTACTCCAAACCAAGCCCAAATCGATACAAACAAGAACTTACATGAAGATCCTGGGCCCTGGGCCCTTGTCCAGCAATCCATGACGGACGCGAGCGGACGCTGAGATCTTGGCGTATTTGATGAAGTTCGATGCTTGGGCCGGCACTACTCTTCGGTCGCGATCGGAGTTTCGTGGATCACCTGCATTTTTCAGCTATTCGAGTGCCTATTCCTGTCAAACAAGACCACAAGCACATCGACCACATGGCAGGCACCTGCCTGTAGGGAATTGATCACGCGATCCAGGGACACTAAAGGCATAGCTTTTAGGCGGGCCTTGTTCAAGGCAGCTATTGTTTGACAAACAGACCAGGTGTATCAACATATATTCTGCTTCATTGTTAAAGCACATATTTCATGCCCATTCCTGCCCAGTTGGTGGTGAGGGCCACATGGTTTCATCATGGTTCATCATTTTGACTGAAATTGGTTCCGCACATGGTCTCCCTGATTTTGTAATAACATGGTCTTTCAGTTTCAGTCCTTAAGGCTCCTCCAAAACGTCTTTTCCAAACACCCAAGCTGGAAAGGAGGTGAGGACTCCTGAGTCTCGTCTCGTCTTCGTTATTCTCTCGTCTCGTCTCGTTTCCTTGGTACTCTCCATGTTTTGCTCCTTTTCGTTAGGAGAAGATGAGCCTTCGTGACGCCTACCACTTCTTAAAGCACCGTCGCAGCATTGCGTGCCCCCGCAAGGCTGGGGATGGGGTGGGGTGGAGAGGGGCCTCCTCCACCCGGGTGGGTTCGAGCCGGTTGCGTCACTGGTTGCGGAGTGACCAAGGTGAGTAGTTTTACTGGAGGCGTGTTTTGTAGATACAAGGCAACCAAGGCAACCACAACCAAGTAC